AGAGGGAGGGAAGGAAGGAAGGAAGGAAGGAAGGAAGATGAGAGAATAAAGGAGAGGAAGAGAGAAAGAAGAAAGAAAATAGGGAAGGAACAAAGGAAAGAGAAGGAAAGAGAAGAAAGGAAAAGGAAAGGAAAAAAAGAGGAAGGAAAAAAGAAAGGAAAAGAAAGAAAAAAAGAAAGAAAGAAAGAAAGAAAGAAAGAAAGAAAGAAAGAAAGAAAGAAAGAAAGAAAGAAAAAAGCTTCCATTTTCCATTCTAACAAATATAAGTACCATCGCAACTTATGAGTGTGATGGGCAGGCTTCATCAAATCATAAGCCATATCACAAACAATCAAAACTATTAAAGCCAGGAAAAAAATTCACCACTGGGGAGGATGTAATCCAATTTACTAAAAATACAGTCCTTTGTCTAATGCCCTTATTACAGATTTGCACTTGCGGTCTCTTTAGAAATGGCTCTCACAGTTTTAAAGAAAATATTACTGTGAAAATAGATCTACAGACCCCTCATATCCTGGACATAAATTGTTTCAGCTTCTACCCTCAAAATGACACTATAGGGCACACCAGAACAACTAGACACAAAGACGCCATCACTCTGCTAAACAACTAATTCCCACAACACGTCAAACTATTTAGTAAGGCTGATTACTATTATTCCTCCCATCTTTCCTATTAGCTATCTCCTTATCTACTGATGACTATAACTCTGTTGCTTGGATCTTACAATTTATATTGTTTTATCTAGTTTCCTAGTATGATTTAGGTTGATTGCTTCTTTAGTATCCTATGACTATCACTAAGTGTCGTATCTTATGATTTATGATGAACGTATTTTTACGATGACTATGATCAGGATTTATACCTTTTATGTACGCTGAGAGCGTATGCACTGAAGGCAAATTCCTTGTGTGTCCAATCACACTTGGTCAATAAAGAACTCTATTCTATGATGGATAAAAGACCGAAAAACGGAGGGAGATGCTGGGAAGAAGATTTTTATTCTTATATTTTAGCATCCGTACCCCCAATCCTTCTCTTCATTGGACTAGAGTCTAGACATATCCAGATCCACAACCGTTCTTCCTATGTTTTAACCATCTTTGTTGCTCTTCTCTGCACTCTTTCCAGAGTCCCAACATCTTTCTTATATCATGGTGACCAGAACTGGATGCTAAATTTAATTTAATGAACTGGATTAACTAAATGCAAAATTTAACAAAATTACGCTTCTCTTTACCAGCCTTGGCTAGATAGTAGCTAATACAACTTAGGGGTCCTTCTGATTCTAACGTCCCCTGATTCCAAGGAGGCTGGCTGGTGGCACTAATCCTGCAATTCGGCAAACATCTGGACCCCTCTGGCACAAACTCACCTTGTAAAGGGCGCTGACCTTTTCTTGACATTTAATGTAAGCTTCGTAGTCGGCAAAAACTTTAAACCTGCAGCAAGAAAAAGGGTGATTACTGGAAAGCCCAGTTTGCTCATTAAGATGCAGGGGGCAGGAGTGAGCTCCTTAAGGTCATCCAATCCAACCCCTTGATCTGGAATAAAGCATCCCTGACATCTGATGGCTGTCCAGCCTCTAGCTCAGTGCTTCTTAATCTTAGCAACTTTCAAGACAAGTGGACTTCAACGCTGGCTGGGGAATTCTGGGAGTGGAAGTCCACACATCTTAAAGTTGCTAAGGTTGAGAGACACTGAGCTAGCTCATTGTCTACTGTCCCTTTTGTTGCTGTTGCTTCTAACTTTGGGTGTGGACCTGCCCTTGGAAAATTTCAGCCCACTGTTTTGTCTCCTGCGTGGATGAAAATGGAAGACTGCCTTTGATTCCCAGCAACATTTAAGAAATTCCCATGATTTAAAAAGTTAGGATTCTTAAACTTCGCTTTAAGCTGCCCCCTGCTGGACACCCAGCTCAATGGCAGAAGAGAAAGTCTGAGTGAAATACCCAAAACCAGGATCCTGATGAGATGGGGGGGGGGGGGGGGACTTCAACTCCCAGGATGCCTCAGCCAGCAGTTGTGGACTTCAACTTCCAGAATGCAAGATGGCTGGGGGATTCTGGGAATTGAAGTCTACCCATCTCAAAGCTGCCAAGTTGGGAAACGCTAAATATATGGCCCCATTTATTCAGTGAATTAAAGGCCTGGTTATACTTACTATTTATGAGCAAATTGCCTATAGATGTAGACTTTGTACGGATAAGCATAATAAAATATGGGATGCATGTATATACAGTATATATATACATGCATGCATGCATGTATATATATATATATATATATATATATATATATATATATATATATATATATATATATATACACACACACACACACAGTGGGTTAAAAAAACATTTTTAGGTAATGTATGTGTGTGTATATTCTAATACACTTATATAACTATCATGCAAACATAAATGTATATTTAATAAATATTTACAAAATATAAATATAACAGTATATATTTTGTAAATAACTGTTCATTTACAAAATATAAAAACATTCATATTTATTACATGCATATATATGTAATAAATCAATGTTTAGTATAATATATATATATTCATAATACATGCATTAGATAATTCTACATAGAATGGCAACCGTTTATTGTTGTAAGAGGTATACTATATTTTAACTTTTTTTGTTGTATTTTGTTTTCATTTTTTAAGCACTTGTGGTTTTTAATAATGCATGTATCATTATGTTTTTTTTCCTTTTGGGGTTTTTTTTCTGTTACTAATAGAATAACAGAACAGAATAACAGGCACAGTAACAGAGTCGGAAGGGACCTTGGAGGTCATCTAGTCCAACCCTCTGCTCAGGCAGGAGACCTATACCATTTCAGACAAATGGCTGTCCAATATTTCTTCTTATTTGGAAAGCAATAACAAATGTATTTTTTTTTTTAAAAAAACAAACCTTGAGAAACACTGCCTTAAAGGAAAAGGAACATGCATGGGTTCGCTCTCACCGGTCATGGTACATGAGCATGTTAACAATATCCTTAAAGAGATCCGGCTGCTTGGGTGAGAAGAAGCCGTTGCTCAGCTGATCGATGGCTTGCTTCAGTTCGGGAATGTGGTCATAATAATCCTTGGCGCAGTAGCTGTGAGGAAAAACAGGGTTTATTTAGCCCCAAAATGATCGTCCTGCACCCTTGGGCAGCCTGAGCTATGTTGGCCCTTCTTAGCTTCCCTACTGGAGAAAAAAAAAACTTTAAAAAGATAAAACAAAACCGGTCTATTTTACCAGCTCTTTTGGAGAAAAACAATCCAATCCACTTTTGCCCCGGTGCTTCTCAACGTTTGGCAAGGCAGCTCCCATCATCCTCTCACAGGCATGGCTGCTGGGAATGATGGGAGCTGCAATCCGTCCCTTTTTGCTGGGGAAACCTGGATTCGGCTGTATTTTTTTTCACAACAGCCTCTGAGGTTTATTTGGACAAAGGGCTGCGTGTTCTTGGAAGTGATTCCCCTTCGGAGGGCAGCTGGGTGTAAATGGCATTCAGCCTTTCCTAGAGTGCTGGGCATGTTTTAAGGCAGGGGTCTCCAGCCTTGGCACCTCCCAGAATTCCCCAGCCAGCCAAATGTATGACTGTTGCAGTGTCCTGGAGTCATGTGCCCCCCCCTTTTGTGACCTTCTGACAAGCAAAGTCAAGGGGAAAAGGCAAATTCCCTTAACACCCGTGTTACCAACTTAACAATTGCAGTGATTCACTTAACAATGGTGTCAATAAAGGTCGTAAAATGGGGCCAAATTCACTTAACAGCCTTCTCACTTAGCAACAGAAATTTTGGGCTCAATTGTGGTTGCAAGTCGAGGACTACCTGTATCAGTAATTGCATGACCTCTGTAGATGCTATAGGCTAAATAAATAAATTACAAATATCCCGGTGCCCATTTTAGCCTCACTAAGCCAGTTAGGACTCATGGAATCCTAGTCCAGGGGTAGGCAACCTTGGCTCTTTTATGACTCGTGGACTTCAACTCCCAGAATTCCTGAGCCAGCCATGCTGAGGGGAAAGGGAGAGGTTTCCAAGCTGAGCCAGGCTGGCTCAGGAATTCTTGGAGTTGAAGTCCACGAGTCATAATATAGCCGAAGTTGCCTACCCCTTGATAGAGCAAGGGTAGGCAATCTTGGCTCTTTTACGACTTGTGGACTTCAACACCCAGAATTCCTGAACCAGCCTTGCTGGCTCAGGAATTCTGGGAGTTGAAGTCCACGAGTCATAAAAGAGCCATGGTTGCCTACCCCTGTTCTGGTACCAACCCCCTGCTCAGCCTGTGCCTGCCTGGAACAAAGATCCCATCCTCCTCTGCCACCTACCCCTTCTTGTCCATCTCCTCCACATCCTCCACGCGCATGCCAAAAATGAACAGGTTTTCCTCGCCGGCTTCCTCTGCCATCTCCACGTTGGCGCCATCCATGGTGCCAATGGTGAGAGCCCCGTTCAGCATAAATTTCATGTTCCCGGTTCCCGAAGCTTCGGTACCGGCTGTTGAGATCTGCTCGGAAAGATCAGCTGCGGGGATCACTGTGCGAGAAAATAAGAGACATTTTACCTAATGAAATGGATCCCGATTACTATTGTATTCCGGAAGAATTTCAGCTGTAAATTGTGAGTTACTGATTGAGAATACCTGTGAATTAAAGTAATCTTCTTTGATCTGTTCATTTGAGTAACTACGGCTTGTCTCACGTGGATAGTGAAGCATTTAATCTGCGTGGGCAGGATAGAAAGAGTGGATGACCTCTTTGGGCATCCCTCATCCTTGGTAGGATTCAGAGGAACAGGTGCCACCTCTGAAAACAGGCACCATTTAACCAAGCTGGCCGAACTCAGAAATCTTAGCCTAAA